AAATTAGTATTTTAAAAAAACTGAAAAATGAGCCCGCCTAGGCGCCGCCTAACCGCCTGGCCGACGAGCCCGGCGAGTCCGCTTTGAAGCTCTTAGGGCCGCCTAGGCGTCGCCTAACCATTTTGCCAATTTTTCTGCTAATTTGTACAAATCAGAGGCATTCGGGTACCGCCTAGCGGCGCCTAAGCCAATTTTTAGAACATAATTAACTTGGTATACGCCAAACAGCTAAAATAGGCATGCAAAGAACTAAAAAATCGTCATCCCAAACTTCCACAATATTACTCCTAAAGCACAAAAATAATTTAAAAAAAAAAATAAAAAATTAAGAATAAAAACATTACCGTAAGCAAAGACTTAATAACATCCCAGTCGAGATCAACCGAGCACGATTTATCCTCTTTGAGCCGGATCAAGACATCAAGAATATCAGCATCATCCTCCAGTGCACCACCATCCCTCCTCTTACTCATATGCTCGTAAATAAGCTCCTGATAGAACGAGTCCAGCTTCTCGAAAGTCGACTCCAGCCGACTAATCATACCAGATATCTTATCCACCCAACCGAACGCCGGGAAATAATCAGACACGTAAAAGGCGGCCAGCAAGGCCTGAGCGTCATGCAGTAGCTTATCAAACCTCCGCTGCTCGTACCCTTCCTCGTCATACCTCTTGCCAAACGCGACCCTACAGATCAAAGTGTTCCCCAGAGCCATGGCCACGTGGCTCAAGTCGACGATCGGCTTAGACGAGACTCTCGAGACCATGCGGAAAACTTCGTCCTCACGAACCGGACGAAAAGACCGAACCTTTTTCATGCTGAGTAAATGGACGGCCGTGATTTTCCGCAGCTCCCGCCAGTAGTCGCCGTAGGGTGAGAACACCATGTCCACGCAGTTGTAGCTGAGCTTTTTGGGCCCGACGAGATTGGGCCGGCTGCAGAAGGCCAGATCTTGGGCCTTCATCACTTGCTCGGCCAATTCTGCGGAGGAGATGACTATGGTCGGGACGGAGCCCAGCTTGAGCTGTATGATAGGCCCGTATCTCCGCGAGAGGCGCCATAGGTAGATGTGTAAAGCTTTCGCAGAGGCAAGCTGGTGGAGGTTTCCGATGAAGGGCAGGCCGGGCGGGCCCGGTGGGGAGCGGGCCTTGATTGGGGTTTGGTTCCGGTGTGGGAGTTTGAGGAGGATTACTAGTGTTTGGATAGAGAGAAGAAAAAGGAGGACTATTGTTACTATAATCATGGTCGGTGCAAGATTGGTGTGTAGAGATTTTTGAGAGGGTTGAAGCTAATGATGATTTAAGAAGAAAATAGAAGTGGGATACGAATTATCAGTAATGCTAAGGAGCCAATTATTGGCTCCGTTACGGAGCCAACAACCAATGGAACAGCTTCATGTGTGGCTGTCCCACATTGGAGCTATGTGGGACAATCTTACATACAACTGTCCCATTGACTGTTGGCTCCGTAAAGAAGCCAACAGTTGGCTCCTTAGTATTATTATATGAGTTATTATTAATATGTATTCAATATTGGCTGTTTCTAGTGGTTGAAGTATGGACAACCATAATAGTCAATCAATATCTATGCCCATGTTTTAAATACCCGTTCGTACCGGCCGGTATTACCGGTAATACCGGATACCGGTGGTCCGACCGGTATATTTTACACTCAAAATACCGTTTTGGCCAAAATACCGGTTTCGTACCGGAAAATACCGGTTTTACCGGCAAATACCGGCCAAAATACCGGTCAAAATACCGGTTTATGCCATTCAAAATACCGGTTTATGCCATTTTTTTTTAAAAAAAATATTTTTAATAAATTTTTATTATTTTATTTATATAAATTGTAATTTCTACACTTAACTTTAATATGTTTATATTATTATTAGATGTTAATTTATTTTAGTATTAATTAAAGTTAGTTTTGTATATTATTTATATAATAATAACAAATTAATTTAATATTTATTAAAACCGATAAAATAGACGGTAATACCGGTCGTACCGGTAATACCGCATACCGGTCGCTACACCGGTATGACGACCGGTACGGTTTTTAAAACATTGATCTATGCATAGCTACAATAGATACGGAATTTCATTTATGTCTATTAATTGCATATAGGCCATATAGGCTATAGCACACGTGCATGGCGTTTTTTTTTTTTTTTTTATATAAATCTGTTGAGATAATGAAATGACAAAGTTGTCCTTCAAATGTATTGCAAAAAGTCAGAATTTGGAGAGTGCGACTCGCATGCTCGCTTTTCCGGTGGAAAACGAGCCTCCGATGGCCGAAAGTTGCTATACAGACAAAGTCGTGTATTAAAAGTTGCAATATAGTACAATATATTCTTTAGGTTGCAAAATCCAAATTCGCGCATAGTACTGGTTGCATAAAATTATTTACCCTATTTGTTACGATACTGTAAGAATATTGGTTTGACATCGGCTGACAAACCTAAGTGTTTTCTAGAAGATCTATTGTTAGGCAAGCAAAATATATTAAAGAGGAGTTTTCTATTTATTTACTTGATGATTTAATTAAGTTCCTAAAAGCTATTATTAAATATATGGTATATATTTATTATAGTATGAATTATGGAGTCCTAAACCTTTAGGATAAGTATTACGTAAATATATATCTTACTAGTACAACACTCGTGTATTACACGGGTGCTTGCTAATTTTTTTTCTTAAAATCTGAAATAAATATATGAGAAAAAATAGTTTGAAAATTTAAATACCTTGTATAAGAATATATATTATTATATATTTATTATGACACTTTTTATTTGTGCGACTTACCTATGTTATATATTATACTAATTTTTTAACTTACAATATATAACTACATTAAATATAAATATATAAATTGAGAAACAATTTTATTTTTCTAATGAATTTTAAATAAATATTATTATTTATTATTATTATAAAGATAAAGATAAATATAATTTATTTATTTCATATATACAATATGGATGTCAAATCGAAAATCATCAAAAGATGATTAATTTGATATATTATATATGTAAAACCGATAAGAAATACAAAAGTTATCAACTTATAAAATACATTTATAATTCAATAGCTTATTGAAAGAAACAAATCAAAATTCAGGGATATTTTAGTCACTTAGTGCCTCACTATATAAAATTACAAAAAATTAAAGGGTTATATTAGTACAAGTGATATTAAAATACCTAAGTTAGTTAAATAATATTTATGGAATACCCGAACCTAGATTATTAATTATTTATATATCAATATTTTTTATCCAAACCTAATTACGAAGCATGATTCTTCGCCAAGTAAGATTACGAAGCACCAGAAGCAGCCACGTAGGCTCAGCGCATTCGGGAATTATATATAGGGAGGATATATTAACGTACAATATATGTCACACGCATTAATGAGTTTGATTTTATGTCATAATTAGTTTTCTCTTTTCTTGTAGGACAAAAAATAAGTGGCAAGAACTATGAAAGGATGAAGTATCAATACTAAAGAATTCTGGACGTTCTAGACAAGATTTACGGAGGATTCAAAAAAATTTACCGCAAGATCTTTGATATTTAGAATATAGGCTTTTTTAGGACTCAGGGATTAGGCGCAGCGGCGGTGCCTAGAGGCGACTAGTAACGGGGCGGCATGGTATGACAGGTGGTCTTGGCCCGATTTGGCACGATCAGTCGGGAGCACGCGAGGCGTCGACACTTTTGGGTTGAACATCTCTGATGAACGAGGGGGTTACGAGTTGCAGACTTAATACTGATCCATACTAAATTGGTGTTTTTCAGTTGTGATGCTCGATTCCAAGCACGAGGCTGCATTGTTTAATTTTTCTGAAATCTGTGGGTTGTTGTTAAACAATGGTTTGGGAGTAATGGTTTGAGGTTTTGGGATGATGATTTGTTTGTGGTTGTTTTTTTCTAGGAATTCACATAGATTTGATTTTGATTGTGGAATGGTTAATTTCTGAAGCTTCACTAAGCTATGTTACATGGACTCGAGTACAAGTATCGGATACGGGTACATATCCAAGTATTGGGTTTTGAATTTCTAAAAGTTAAAATATGAGGACACGTACCCAAACTTGGACATAGGTACGTGAATACGGCAGTCAGTGTAACAAATTAAAAAAAATAATTAATATTACAACATTAATAGGAAAAAAGTATATATAAATATACCATTGCAAATTTTAGATTTATAATAATATTTCGATACATAAATATTACTAATACAACATTGAAATAAAAAGAAAAGCAATAAATTAACATTTCAATTTAATTTTCTACTCATTTACATGTTTGAGTGATAAACTAAAACATAAGGCCCATATAAAATGAATATTCCAATTAATCAGTCCCATTAATTTAAAACTTTAAAGCCCATGTACTGTTGATAACCAATTCAACTAAAAGCCCATCTGTATACAATTAACCTAGACGTCTTAAAATTTACGCGTTCCAACTCAACAGCCGCCTCACTGTTCATCTTATCCTTTACCCGCGTCTTCTCTGTTGCCGATCGCCCTTGCAACTTCCATCCGTCACCTTTCAAAGACATTAGACGCCCATCACGTTCCAACTCTCAACAACCGCCGCGCACTGTTCGTCTTCGATCCGCCCGGACAATATCAATGGTCAACGTATCCGACTTCTTTTGACTGGATCGGAGCCAGATTTTGTACCGGTACCCGTGTCGTGTCGTGTCGTGTCGACACGGGTACGCCAGTGGTAAGTGACTAGCCCGGGTAACATAGTCACTAAGTTGGTTTTTGGTTTCTGCATGGTCGTACATGTCCAAACTGCAAAAAAACATTTTTTATAGGATTTTTTTTATTTCAATACAAATTGATTCTGGTGGGTGTATATCTATTTAATATTCAATATATATCAACTGCTAAGAATATATACATATATATGTATATAATTAAAAAATGTATGTTATACATGTAACGCCCCAATCCTTTTATCTCTTCACTTTAGTTCTGACAGATAGCAAGTTTTAATTATTCTAAGTTCTAATGATTTAAATTCAAGGCATTAAATTTATTATTATGAGCATTTATTCTAATTAATAGATCCTAAGTCTAAGCCAAGGAGGAGCCATTCGAATTTTAATTCCGGAAATAAAATAATTTTAGGCTAAGTCTCAATTCATTCTGCCTTAGAAAAATTGTCATAAAACTTGGCCATTTTTTTTTAATCAGAAACGAGCATAAGAAAAAATCAAGAAAATAAAATAAGGGTCGAGGCCAAGGCAAGCCAAGGCCCCGACCCTAGGGAAAAGTGTTGAGGCCCAAAGGAATCGCCCCCAGCTAGCGTGCGCATAGCAGGCGCCCAGCTCGCGCACAGCCCACAATGCCCAGCACTTCCGCCATCTTGGCCCAACAGCCGGTCTGCTCATTGCCCAGAATGCCGAGGCCCATCAGCCCAAGTGTTCTTCAAATATAGAAATTCTCGCGGGATATAAGGTTCTTATACTTACTCTAATAACGGAAAAAATTGTACTACACAATGAATAGTAATTTTTACTACACCGTGGATAGTTCCAAAAAGTTATACCATCCAATGAATGGTACCCGGGAGTACAACACTATAAACAGTAGTAGGCTTTTTACTATAAACAATAATTAATTTCCCAAAAATATCCTCTCTGAATAAATGCACTACTTTACCCTCGTATAAACTCGTGCTCAGTGTTAAAGCATGCATAATTGTTGAGGTTTATTGTTGAGGTACTTTTAAAGCTCGACTTTCAGTTTCTGACAATACCATTTTGAATGAGATTCATGTTTTAGGGAAGTGTGTGTTTGCAGTTTATTTATTTATGCGAACATAGATCCTTTAGTTTATGTTGTGGATAATATGGTTCGCTATGTCAAACACAAAGGTCATATTATCGGTCCCTTATTAAATATAAATATTTGTTCACAACCCAAATGTAATTGAACGACTTACATTAGTACATCCCGGATGTAATGAATGAACCTACAAGATAATAAAATTATTTTATACTGATCAAGTAAATAATCTAGACCTCAATAATTGTTTTGTAACTAATAAGACAGTAAATGAGCATATTTAGTCGGCACTTGCTTATTTGATTTTACCTCAGTTATATTTCTCTAGTGATATGATTTATTATTCAAGTGTGAACACAAGATGGACCAGCATCGCAGTTGCGTTCACACTTTGGGAGTCCATATTTAGCAAGTCCTTAAGGT